GAGAGAGAGAGAGAGAGAGAGAGAGAGAGAGAGAGAGAGAGAGAGAGAGAAGTCTGCACATTCAGACCCACACTGGTTACTGTACTGAGCTGTGGAGCACAGGAACAGCCTGTTTCGTCTTGATAAAAGGTTGCACCAAGTAAAGCCAGGAGTTTCACAATTTATTTTTCTGCAATCGAGCTCAGAAAGGTTCTCACGGTGGGTGCGGTGAGGAAATATCAAAACAATCTGATCTGTCCAGCTGTTACGACCAGTGTTTAAAACATGACATATGGGGCACCAAGTGTGAAATAAAATGTAAAAAAAAAAAAGTCATTACATCATTTAGCTCACACTCTGTGAAAAATCTTAGTAAATATTTATTGTTATTTAGCTCACTGTTTTTACATTTTGCCAGTTTTTACTTAATATAAACGTTGTGTCTAAATGTAAAATGAGATAATAATGTGAAGGTGTAAATCTAAATAAAGTATTCCAGAATGGATCGCTGCCTTTGCTGTTGGTGCGTGTTGTGACATCTTCATCCTGCGACAAAAACAACTGCTTATTTCTAGCTGCAGAGCATGTTGGAAGATGGTTATTTCATGTTATTTGTTGTTTTTTTAACAACTGGCTCTGAAATGCAAAATAAATCTGAAATTGAGTTTTTGAAAAAAAACGTAAAAATTTAAAAAAATCTGTGGGATTGTTTTTTACATTTGTATTCCTGCAAAACGAGGGAAACAACTTGACATGTATTCAATTAACTAACAGAGAAGTAGCCTATGGGCTAATGTACAGTTTTTACCTTATTATTTCTTTGTTTTTCAGCTTTGCCTTTTTCAAATCCTGCGGCTATTTTGAAAAACAGCATTTCATCATAAATTGGATTAAACTAAAATTTCCAAAGACATCCGTTTCTTGTCAAAAAAACTATCAGGGTGTTCTATCTTGCTGATCTGTGAGGCTTGGATTCCCGGTGACGTGTTTGAGCTGCACAGGCTTGTCTCTGACGACTGGAAAATGAGAGTTAGAGTTGGAAGAATTGTGAGGAGAAAAGATTAGATCTATTTGTCCTTTCACCTGAACTGGTCGCACACACAAAGCCTGATGTGACAATATGGTGGTGAAACAACAGGAAGACTCAGGTTTACTGTAAATGTGTTGACACACACACACATACACACACACATACACACACATGGTTTCTGAGGTCATTTATTATCACACGCTGCTGAACCAGGAGCTGCTACAATGTTATTGCATGTGCCTGTATTTGTCTGTTAGCAAAATATCTCATGAACCACTGGACAAAAAACTAATCACTAAATGTACAAGTTCACCACAGCCAGTCAACCTCATCCAACACAAAAATTGTTCTAATTCAACCATTTATTTATTTGTTTGTTTTTACAAATATTGATCTAATTTAGGTGTGGTAATAGCTGAGAAATGCAAGTTCCACATAGAAAGATCCCAGGTCTGAACTTGGGATTGAACCCAGGACCTTCTTGCTGTGAGGCATCAGTTCTAACCACTGCTGCCTAATGTGAAATAAATACCACAGAAATACTATCCAAAGTAAAATAGTTTTACTCACTGTTGAGTTGTGAGTAGCTGCTGCCTTGAACTCTGAACTCTCCCACTTTCTAAAATGGAATTCCCACTGGTGGGGCATTCCAGTTTAAATTTACAGCGTGTAAGTGGGAAATTACCACTTCCCAGTTTATCAGGACCAGTTTGCAACTGTAGCCAAAAATGCAGTGAAATGGAAACTTTAAACAGGAAATTTTGTTGGCTACCGGCGACTTTAAAACCCAGTGTACCTCGACCACATGGTGGGAAGCCATCATTTTGTGTGTAAAATAATCAACCTGCATTATGGGAGATGCACTTTCAATRCTGCTTATTTTGAGACATTGATAAGCTCTCATGGGCCACATAAAATGCTGTGACAGGCTACATTTGGCCCGCTGGCCATAAGTTTGACACATGTGTGCTTTAGTTTTCTAGTGTTACAGTGTTCCCCTGTGTCTCTCTGCCCTGCTCCCGCCCTGCCCATGCTCACCTGTTTCCTCTTGTGTCTCCTCCAGGTGTTTCTTGTTGTCCTTAATTTGTTTGCCTTCATATTCTGTGTTCAGTCTGTGTCAGATCATTGTTTTTGTGCTGCCTCCCTCAGCCTGTGTGATCTCTCTGTGCTCCCACTGAGATTTTGGTAAGCTTTGGAGCTGTTTTGCCAACCRTTTTGAGTTTATTATTAAAAGCTTTTTTGCCATTTTGAATTTTGCCTGCGCCCTGGGTTTTTCCCCTGCCTGAATCTCACAATGTGGACTAAGCTGTGAATTAAGTTCCGATTAGGTTTATAATGAGTGTCAGGATTAGGCTATAGAATGGATGAAAAGTGAATGRAAGCCAATGGAAAGTCCCTGTGAAGATAGAAAAGTCAGTGTGTGTGTGTTAATCTGAGGTCCTGTGAATTCTTGCAATGTTTCTGTGAAGTGTTCATCGGGCCTGACGCTGCTYCAGGTC